AGAAACAACCCACTGTTAGAAAGCTGAATGGCTACGCTTTAAAATGAATGTAAACTTTAACGTTTTCGTCTATTATTTGTTTAGCAATTTACATTTCAGTCGAGGATTGCGCTTTTTTTTATACACCCTGTATATATATATATACGTGACGCCTCATTGCGACTTTTCTGCGCCGTTTTAAAACCACTCCACCACGTATAGTCTTATATGCGGTAACAAAGGGCATGCAGATCTAAATCATTTGAGTTTTCCGGTTAGTTGAGCTCATATTAACAGGCCCTTATGTTGTACTGTTTTGTAGTGCGATTTTGTCCCTGGAGGTGGCTTCAAAGCTGGTAACTATCGCTGTGTCTGCCGCAAAGGATTCTATTTCCCCAGTCCTAATGCGAAAAACAAATACTTCGAAGGACGCGACGTAATATCAGCTAAAGAAGGCAAGTCAAACTATAGTTCATACGACTGTATACCGTGCCGGGAAGGTTGCGAGGAGTGTATTGATGATACGCCGTGTATGTATCAGAGGAATATGTCACTGAGGACTGTGTTTTTGACGATCAGTGAGATCATCAAAGCAATCGCAATTGCCTTGGGTGTGTTTATCTTCATCTTCAGAGAAACCAAGGTATGGATATTCGTATGTGTATACATTAGTATATTTATTATGATATAAGTTCTATTATACTTAAATACAATACAAATAAGACAATATTATAAAACTCATGTTGCAAACAGTACATATATAATTATGAATACAATAAAATGGAATGCAATCAGATATACAATTCAACACAATATATTCATTAGAAAATAATAAAAGTAAAATAGAATACATGCAATAGAACACAATTATACATGTCAAGTACTATATAGAATACAATACAGTTACTATATAATTCTATTTTAGATCATAAAAGCATCCAGCCCTGTTTTCATGGAAATTATTGCGTTTGGAGTTGTTCTTATGTATTTTGAGGTAAGGATCGGACATTTTGTAAATTCATCTATAATATAATTTCCTGGAATTTTGGGTGACTTTTCACATAAATCTCCCAAATTCTCAGGGGTGTAAGAAATAGATCTGCACTCAAATTGTTTCACGATCTCATATTTTAGATCACACTCGGGTATTTCGAAGATACTGTTCTCCTTTGCATAGCAAGATCGTGGCTCTATCACACTGGATTTATTTTGGCCTTTGGATCGTTGCTTTTGAAAACGTGGAGGTATGTTCTCTTTAGTGATCCAATAAGAGCCGCACACCAAATTTGGCCAGAATCAAATGTTTCCACAACCGCCTGGTAAACAATCCTTTCACGTTCTCTGAATTTCCTTTTTGCGGGGAATTTCCTTTCCAATTAATCTCGGACTCTCACGACCGACATTTTGCTGCGCGACTTAATATCTCTTATTTCATGCGCCCAACAAGAACAAAAATATCAGTACCATCGTTCGCATCAGCGTAAGAAATTGTACTTACTGATACCAAATCAAATTAATTTCTTTCGTTGTTGACAAATCTCTCAAAAATGATTAAACTATAACAAAAAATTCAGTATTTTTGACCTTTTATCTTTCGAATCGTTGGTTTTGTTTTTCGGCCGTGTACCAATGGATTCGTCTCACTTTTCTCTTCATTTTGATAGTATTTTGAGCCCAAAATATTTTATTTTGAAGTTTTAAAGGCCATGTAAAGTCCGTAATGTAAACAAAGGCTTTGTTTACATTTTGAACTCAGTGCTACAGTTGTAAAATATGACTATAGATATATATTATACTGAATTTTTAACACTCTTCTGGTTTCCTATACAGGGTGAGTAAAAAAACTGATACCTTCGCGCCTAATTTGAATAACAAAGGTGTCAGTTTTTTTTACTCACCCTGTATGCTTGTAAATGAATACAGACTAGAGATTCAATTCAAGAAAGTTTGGAAGGTGCGAAATATTAATAACATTCCAATAATGGTCGAGTCCCGACCATTGGAATGTAGGCCTGCGCAGAACGGACTTTACATGGTCTTTAATCCCAGCGTGCGGAATGTGGCGTACTATACATTTTACTTGGAGGCACACAGTTATATATTTATAGGCATCGCATTTTGGTACTGGGTCTGGTTGGATCATGCAGTGTTCCACAGGAAGAAACAAGAGTAGCCAGAGAAGACCTCTTAGAAACCTTTTAGAAATTCAAGACCGTACTGAAATTATAGTCAGACACCTGCCTGTTGCAAAAACAAAAGCCATCCCTTTCAAACACAATAAAACCATTGCCTGGTTCTTTATACACATTCTTTCCTATTTTCTAGAATTGCAGTAATATTTCGTCTCCGCACAGCCAAAATGATAGAGCTGACAGACAGGACATTACTCAAATACCTGTCGTTAATGTTAGTCGCTGTCTTGTGCTATCTTATGATTTGGACGTGGACACAGACGCACGAGTCTGAGATTAAAATGACGAGTGCTGGCTTTAAGTACAAACGTTGCGTTCGGGAATGGTTTTCAAATGCTATTGAAATAGGTAAGTAATTCTCCAGGACAATTCAGAGCAAGACGATTTCATTTTGGTCATAGTGTTTTCGGCAGTCGCTGAGTGCACATATACGTAAAAACGCGAATGTTGTTACAGACCTACAAACAAGTTGTAAAAAGGTTGTTGACAAGTCGATATCAGGATATGTTCGCACTGTTTGTTCCCAGTTGTTGTGACAAGTCTGGAACAAGTTGTTATTACTTTGTTACAAAGTTGATGACGATAATAGACTTTTTTTCTGTATTGGTGTTGTGTACTCAGGTGAATAATATGTTTGCGACGTTACTCTGAGTGCATATCCACACCGGGCGAGCTTGAAAAATATGCCCGGCCACGGTGGGATTCGAACCTATACGACCTTTGGAATACTAGCCCAATGTTGTTCAGTTACGTGCACATGATATCAGACTTGTTGGAACAACTTGTTGCGACTCTGTTGGTCACATCAACCTTATTACAAGATGATAACAACTTGTTCCAGACTTGTCAACAACTGGAAACAAGCAGTGTGAACACATCTTGTCGACTTGTTGACAAGCTGTGATGTTTTACACTTGCAGGTGGTACCAGGTTAATTTAAGATCTACGATTTGCTGCAAATCGACGACGTGGTGCACATGTCTGTTGAACCACACATGTTAAAATGGACCAAGTTGTTACAGGTCTGCAAACAAGTTGTTACAAATCTGTTCACTAGCTGTCGACAAGTTGTGTTCGCACTGCTTATTCCTAGTTGTTGCAACAAGTTTGGAACAAGCTGTTATTGTGTTAACAACAAGCTTGATGGCATTGTCAGACTTGCTGCAACGTTGTTCTAACACGTCTGAGACAGTCATGATATAAGAAGATTGGAAGAATATTACAAGGTTGATGACACAAGGTTGTAACAATATTGTTATATCATGACTGTATCGGACTTGTTGGAACAACCTTGTTGTAGCACGACTGTATCGGACTTTGTTGGAACAACCTTGGGACAAGCAGTGCGGTAGCGCAACTGTATCGGACTTTGTTGGAACAACCTTGGGACAAGCAGTGCGAACGGCTTGTTGGCAGACTTGCTACAACATGTGACATTTTAAGTTCACCAAAAGAGGGGTATTTCTAGGTTGATTTTTTTCTCCTCCTGGCAAATGTGATCTAACGAATGACATGCAAAAGACTTTTGTGTGCGAGTTCACTCATTTGCATCCGTCAGAAACACAAAATAGTCGACAAAATTGCTAGTGTGACGCAAGTTTAAAGCACGGCCTTAATTTGCAATACTTAATTTGTATAGGGGAGGTACTTCTTCTTCTCTGGGGTGTATGGTTGTGTCTACGTGTCCGCAATGCTCCATCAGCTTATAACGAGAGTAAATACATTGCGTGGTGTATCTATAACACTGTGTTTATCATGATCCTGGTCGGCCTACTGAGGTTGGTTATTTTATTACTTCAACATTTAGTTCTATCGAATGAGATGCCCACAATTCTGCTATCTACCCATACGTATACCTTACATTGGTATCACTTTAGTATTTATACATGAACTATTGAACTTGCGGTTATAGAGCTCGACAACTGGCCTCTGTAGCTCAGTTGGTTAGATAGATGGTTTATTGAGGTAAAATCTTGCAGCCTTAAAGTAGCCAAATTATGAGTACTTTTACAAAGCATTACTATACGGTAGTTAGGTGTATACAGCTATTTCGATTAAGGTTGTCCACGAGCAAAGCGGAAAAGTCGAATACGAGCGCGAAAGGCTGCTGGGAATTGCTTTGAAAATTCATTAATTTGTTAGCGATTCCCAGCAGCCTTTCGCGCTCGTATTCGACTTTTCCGCTTTGCTCGTGGACAACCTTAATTGAAATAGCTGTATATACACTAATAAAATTGTTAAAGGTAAAAGGTTATAATACATGACCTATTATATAGGCTCAAATTAAACGGGATAACTAGAAAAGTTGATTCTTAGTTCTTTGCATTTGGTTTCGTTCAGTTGGAAACCGTCAACTTGAACCTTTCAAGAAAATTCATCCGCATATTCCTGCATGTAGCTATAGTTTTTTTGCCACGTTTTCCTCAAGGGAGGAGTCGTCCACATATTTCCAGGGTTAGAGCGCTGCACCAGAATTGTAGGGCCACAGAGGGCCTATATAATTGCTCCTGCATGGATTATTTTCCCCATATCTAAATGGTCAATTCGCAATCTACCTATCTTCAAAATGTATATCATTTCCCTTTCAGAATTGTTTTGGACAATTTTCACAACCCGGATGTGTCATACGTTGTGGATTTTCTCTCCACTCACGTCGTCGCAACAATCTTGCTTGCTTTGCTGTTCATATCTAAGGTATGTATGTGATATATCATACGCGAAAAATTACAGCGATTTGCAACACGGAAACGTGTCTTGAAAAAGGAGACATAGCCGAGTTCTTTACATTGCCCCGATTGTTTTTAGATCGATGAGAAATTTCTAAATTCAAAGCGAAAATGGACTTAATCCTAGATTAGATATCTTAGTATATATCGTAGCTCGGTTTCAACAAGAGCGTTTATTATCAGCACGACGATTCAGTGCTGTTTTGTAAAAAATTGTAAACAGGCTAATATGCCTCGATCATACAAGAATAAAGGAATACCGAATGGTTTTCCGTGCAGGATTGCGTGATCCATGCACGAGGGATGTCGCGAGACTTTCGGAAAGCGTAAAACTACTCGCAGGCGAGTGTATCTTTACGCTTTCCGAAAGTCGACCAACATCCCAAGTGCATGGACCACGCTATCCTGCATGGAAAACCATTTGGTAATTGTTTTATAAAATAACTACAGTGAAACAATGACATTCTGAGAATCCCGCGTAGGCATTTTAATTCCTCGTGCAGGATAGCCTGATCCTGCACGGCTATTGACCAATCAAATTGCGCGTTTCACTGTAGTTATTATATAATGAGTGTTCTGTGTTCGCAGACTGCCAACTCTCATGGACTCTCATCAACTTTGAGCTGGTTCATCAAAAACATTCATTTTACCCGAAGTGGGAAATTTGTTTTTAATCCTATGAGACTGTAACTATACCATGACTACTTCAGTATTTATCTTGTATGCCTTATCAGTCTTTAATGGACCTATTCCCTAATGAACAAAATTTTGATCTAGATAAGTCTATAGACAAAAATTTCATCACAGCTTGAAAGAGCGTCACAAAATTAGTAATATTCCGAATTTTCGTTGCCAAATGTTGTAAAATGCGGATAATATAGCCCTGCGAAGTTTGCCGTTTTTCAGTCATATTGTATTACGCGCGGGAAATTGAAATTTTTTCAAAAAGCGGTATCAATTTCCCGTGCGTAATACAAAATGACTGAAAAACGGCAAACTTCGCAGGGCTATATTATCGGCATTTTACAACATTTGGCAACGAAAATTCGGAATATTACTAATTTTGTGATGCTCTTTCAAGCTATGGTGAAATGTTTGTCTAAACTTGCATGTCTAGATCAAACGTTTGTTCATTAGGGAATAGGTCCATTAAAAACGTATTGCTTCATACGACAACACTTCAAGAGAGTCACAAACGACAATTTTTGTTATTTTTTCCTATTTATTGCAATCTTTTGTGGAAAAGTTTGAGCTCCAAATCCAAAGAAAGAAAGAAACATTTTCTACCTCTGTGCCGCGGATTGACGGAGACGCAACTACGTGAAAATACAAGCAGAATTTCGAACTTTGAGAAGCCAGTAGCCAACTGGTTTGTTTTTTAAGTATCTATGATAGCAAAGATTGTAAAATAACTGGATAGGAAACTTCCTGACGTCACAGTCTAAACCTAGTTGCAATCTGTGACGTCACGCGTATTGCCAAAGTTTTCAGCGTTTTTGTTGTTTCGCTATATTTTCCGCTTTAATTTAAAAGAGTAATATTGAAGCATAAACTGGTCTAACTGTTTTGAAAACATGCTTAAGCCACGACAGAGTATTCAAAGTAAATGTTTTTCGTCTTTGTTTTGTATTTTTTTTTACATTTGTAGCTACGAAATTTGCGATGCATTTTTCACTGTTTAGTGCTTGAAATATTTGCTAAAATTGAGATTTCATCGTAGAATGGCGTAGTTATATTTATTTGCTCTTTGACTAAAATGTTTAGCTGTATTATTACTAAACATGCCGTTTTTGAGAATTTGGTTTGCAACTAGGTTTCAAGATCCAATCACGTTGTCAAAACTACAAGCTTATGGGATACGCGACCACACACTCAAATGGTTCCAATCGTATTTAGATCAAAGAAAGCAAATTTGCATGCTAAATAACTGTAAATCTGATATTGAAACAATTCGTTGTGGAGTACCTCAGGGTTCAAATCTTGGACCTCTATTATTTCTCATTTACATAAACGACCTCCCAAACTGCCTAGAAACAACACACTCTAATTTATTTGCTGATGACACAATTTTATCATGTCAAGTGCATTTATCCATAGATATTGAATACAAACTTAACAAAGACCTAGTAAATGCTCAAAAATGGTTATCAGCGAATAAACTAACATTAAACAACGAAAAAACCAAATATATGATTATTGGATCTCGGCAACGATTGAAAAACTTAGATCACGTGCCAAAAATCAGTATAAACGGACATCAAATTGAACGAGTTTATAAAAAGGAAGCTTTGGGTATAGTTATAGACGATAGACTTAGCTGGAATAGGCAAAATGAAGAACAATGTAACAAGATATCAAAAAATATTAATCTTTTAAGAAAAGCCAAAGATTTTGTTGGCCTAGATACGCTCAAAATTATGTATAACGCATTAGTCGCGCCTCATTTTAACTACTGTTCAACTGTTTGGCAAAATAACAACCAAACACACAAAGACAAATTATATAAGCTTCAGAAACGAGCAGCAAGAATAATAACAAATTCGGACTATACTATAAGATCTTCGGACATTTTTCAAAAACTTAGCTGGAAACCTCTTGACTTAGTTTTGAAAAAGCGAGATCTCCTTATGACATTTAAAGCGATTAATGGCATGCTTCCAGAATACGTAACACAACTATTTCACACTTGCGAAAACAATGGTTACGTACTGCGCAGTAGTAATTTAAAGCTGTCTCAACCTAAACCAAAAACGAATTTCTTGAAAAATAGCTTTTCGTACAGAGGAGCAGCGTATTGGAACAACATCCCAGTAAACTTGTTGAAAACCCTAAGAGAATCAACATGTTTAAAATCTGTCCATCATCTATTAAATAATTACCTCTTGTAAATAAGTAAATAAGTAAATAAGTATATTTTGTAAATAAGTATAATTTAGTTTATTAGTTCCTTCTTTTATAATGCATTTATTTTCCGCACGGCCCTTTGAAAATCACCTATGTGAAAGTTTACCGTGTTTAAAGATCAATAATAATAATAATAATAATAATAATCACGCCATCATCCCATTGAAAACATTAGGTCACGTCAGCTAGTTTCCTATCCATTTATTTTATTATCCATGATGATAGGTACTTACCCATCATTTCGTTTGCTATTTAGATCTACCACCTGCGGAAGTTCAAGAAGGACACACAAAGACGAAATCGTGCCAACTCGGCAACATCCACAACAGTAACAGACCTGCGCAAATCACCGTTTCATTTGAATCGTCTGGTTGACGGAACACTCGTCGTATGCGAGATTGAGGAGGAGAGAACCGTGGTGGGACTGGAAAGCGAAAATATTCATCTGCGGGTGAGTGGCACACATTCTCGTACCCAGAGCCCTTCTTACGCGCGTTCGACCGAGCCCGACGAGGGGCTCTGGCCAAATCCATATCAAACTGGCTTCTGATTGGCCACAACTAAATATATGGTTTATTGTATAAAATATGAATAAAAATCAAGCGCTCCATGAAGCGTTGGTTTCATTTCGGATAAAATTGGGAGAAAAGACGTTATTAAAGTTGAAAGAACAGCAGAACGAAGCAGTTAGGAAGATTGTTTATCGCCCACAAAAGCGGTAGATGTAGCTAATTTTATTTATTTAAATCAATTTATAGTTGATTGAAATTAATAGGTTGAGACGTGATGTTCCCATAGCAAAAAATCAGCATATTTTATGGCAGATGCCCGTCGTATTTCCAAATCAGTGATGTTTAATCAAACAAATCTGTGTTACATTTTCAAAGCTGACGTGCCATCTGAGAAAATATTAAAGCCAGCCAGAATATGAAGTTAATTGTGATGACTATTTTCTTCCTAGAAACCGATTTTTTACAATTTTCAAATGATTTGCAGTATAGTATGTCTTATGTATGACTGTTGACTTTTAATAAAACATAAAAAAGTCTAAAAATCTGTACAACAGCGACTTAAAATCGAATATAAAATTGTGAGACAATCTCTCGCGAGTCTCGTCTTCGTATCCGCAGCCATTTATATATACTGCTTTGGCAACGTTTAAGAGGGAAATATATACTAAATTTTTATCAACATCACAACATGCATTGAGAACATCACGTCTTACCTACTAATTGATTTAAATAAAATTAGCGAAACCTACCGCTTTTGTGGGGTTTTCCTGGAGAAAAACTTTCAAAACGAAACAAGAAAACCGCGTGTTTATCCGCGTTTGACGTTGAGCATGCGCAGTGTTTAACCGGATACCATGTTTTTATGGTATCCGGTTATGGATTTGGCCAGAGCCCCTCGTCGGGCTCGGTCGAACGCGCGTAAAAAGGGCTCTGGGTACGAGAATGAGTGGCGCACTGATCTTAGAGCTACATCTGGATTGCGAATAATTTAGAAAGTTGAACATCTCTAACCACGAGATGACTTAATCTTTGATTCCGTCATTGAGATATAGTAGAAGACCGCTAACTCGAACTCCCGTATAATGGCTCACAATAGACCTTATGCATGATGACGTCACAAGGCTTGATGCCCGCGAGGAATGCTGGTCTTAGTAGTCATCGCACGGGAAAATTAAACAATTCAAAATGGCCACTATCGAAATTTTCCCGGGCGATGACTACTAAGACCAGCATTCCTCGCGGGCATCAAGCCTTGTGACATCATTATGCATAAGGTATATTGTGATAAATAATAATACGATTAACATAATAAACGAAATCCAACACCGACCCCCGTTAACTCAAACCCCTGCTAAATCGAACAATTTTTCGCTTCCCTTGGCCTTGGGAGTTCGAGTTAGCTACATTTTAGAGTTTTCCGGGTTTAATTGCATTTAGTTTAGGTTTCCTCTATAGAAATACAGGACAAACAAGAGATGACCATAACTGGACCTCTGGAGAGAACAGTTTAGAACTGACAGAGCGTCCAGTGTAACTAAAGTCAGCTTAAATATATTGCGTTTCTTTGGACAAACAAGGAATGGACTTTTCTGCATTTCTAGGGAGAACGGTTTAGAAGTAATAAAGCTACTAAAGGCTAGTTTCCACTAAGGAAAATTATCCGTGGATTGGAACGGACAAGAAAATTTTTCTTTGTCTCGTGAGCTCTGGGTTGGAACTAATGACTTTTAACACAAAGAAAAATTTTCTTGTCCGTTCCAATCCACGGTTAATTTCCCTGAGTGGAAACTAGCCTTTAGTGTATAAAGTAAAGTTTAGTTTAGTTTATATTTTTAACCATCATTCACTATATAATCACTTATTTGCAACAAAATTTTATTTCACAGGAAGAAATCCGCAATTTAAATGCAAAACTCGCTATATTTGAAAACAAACTCGCACGCGAAAGCAAACGACTGGGAAGCAGCCCCGAAGACGATTACAAACTCCATCACAGCGATTCTCCAATCATCTCGGCCGACAGCGAAACGGAGAGCTCTCGGGACGGAAACGGATTCTCCGACAAGCACGCGAGGAAATGCTCGGCCGCAGCCGAAAGCACCGCGAGCAATGGAAGCGTGTTCGGGCGAGAGGAAAGGGGAGGAAGTTTAATCGAGCATATTAAAAATGCAGGAAAACAGGACAATTTCTTGGTAGTTCCGAAACAGAACAGTGTTTCAGACGAAGAAACATTGACTGTCATGTCAAATATTTCCAACGAATCCCCGTGAGAGTTTCAGCGTTTAATCAAATATATCACGATCATATATTTGAAAAGCAAATGCGATTTTTGTATAATAAATGTTAAATATATAGTGATAGAGATTTAGTTTTTTTTTGTTTTGCTATACTGTATAGTACAAGCTGTCTCTGGTAACGTTGTACTGCAAACACTGAAGAAATGTTTTGTAAAATTTTTCCTTGCTCGCCTTCGAAATTATTCTTGTGGAACAAGATACAATTACCAAATTCAGAAACATTTTGCGAGTATTGAATGGACCTATTCCCTAATGAACAAAATTTTGACCTAGACAAGTCTAGATAAAAAGTTCACCATAGCTTGAAAGAGCATCGCAAAATTAGTAATATTCCGAAGTTTCGTTGCGAAATGTTGTAAAATGCGGATAATATAGCCCTGTGAAATTTGCCGTTTTTCAGTCATTTTGTATATTACGCGCAGGAAATTGATACCTTTTTTCAGAAAGCGGTATCAATTTCCCGTGCGTATTATACAAAATGACTGAAAAATGGCAAACTTCGCAGGACTATATTATCCGCATTTTACAACATTTCGCAACGAAACTTCGGAACATTTCTAATCTTGTGATGCTCTTTCAAGCTGTAATGAAATTTTTGTCTAGACTTGTGTAGATCAAAATTTTGTTCATTAGGGAATAGGTTTTGGGAGGCAAGCCGCACGAAGGAAACAGACAGCACATGAAAGTATATCCAGCTGTTCAATCATCATTTGAATATACAGAAGGCAAAATATTTTAGTACAATATTTATACAGAAGACAAAATATTTTCTGGTACAAAAATTATTTAATGATAGTTCTATTGTGGCTATAAGTAAAACACAAATAATGATTAAACAGTTCAATACTTTCATATTCTATTCCAGTCTCAGCTACATTTTATGATTTCAACTGCAATTTGTCCTTGATGCGCAAATGTCGAGACTCAGAATGGCAGACTAATTTTTGATCTAGACAAAAAAACATTCCCGTAAAGAACTCATTAAAATTAGTAAAATTGCAAAATTTGGTTACGAAATGTTGTAAAATACGGAAAATATAGCCTTGCGAAATTTGCAAATTTTGTATGTTTGTATTGCGGAAATTGTTACCATTTTTCAGCCGAAAATGGAAACAATTTCTACGTAAAACAAACATATACAAAATTTGGAAACTTTGCAAGGCTATATATATTTTCCAAGCTTTACAACATTTCGCAACCAAATTCGCAATTTTACTAATTTCATTATGTTCTTTTTAGCTGTGGTGTTTGATTCCCTTGTCTTTACTTAGATTAAAATTTAGTCTAACATGCAAGTTGTCAATAGACCTTTCCCCTTTTGAGTGAAATTTTGATCTAGACAAAAATTTCTTCACAGCTTGAAAGAGCATCACAAAATTAGTAATATTCCGAAGTTTCGTTGCGAAATGTTGTAAAATGCGGATAATATAGCCTTGCTAAGTTTGCCGTTCTTCAGTCATTTTGTATTACAAATGGGAAAATGATAATCAGTTTGATCATTGATTATCAATTTCCCGTTTGTAATGCAAAATGACTGTATAACGGCAAACTTCGCAAGGCTATATTATCCCCATTTTACAATATTTCGCAACGAAACGTCGGAATATTACTAATGTTGTGATGCTCTTTCAAGCTGTGATGAAAGTTTTGTCCAGGCATATCTAGATCAAAATTTCACTCATAAGGGGAAAGGTCTATTGACTTATAAAGCATTTTAATACTCCCATAGTAATTTGCTCCAGTGGCAAATGTTTCAGACAAATATTTCCTGGTTTGCCCTCCTTCATGCCTATTCAAAACAATATATAGTAACTGCAGCTTGCCATTATACCAATACAGCTTGTGCTAGCAAAACAAAAACCTTAAATGAAATCAAGCCGCTAAAAATCCGAAACAGCAGTAAAACCTAGAATTTTAAAAGAATTTCTTATAAGATATTTTAAATCCAATGCCGGGGATTGCTGCCAGCGAAGAACGGCGTTCACAAAAATTTTACATGCGATTTTATTTTTTTCCCATAGACGATTATTAGAATTACTTTGGCGTAACATTCATGCCTAGCTTCGACTTCATTCTTTTGGATATTTGAGAACACACGAAAACGCCAAACATTATACGTATAAAGACTGGATAAAATTCAAAAGAATGATCTTGAGGTTATAGGTGTACAAATACAAATGGTTTGAAATTAGAAGAGAATAAAAATAGCAGATCTTTTTCATCCAATGTAAATTTAAATTAACTTCCAAATATTGTAGAAGAAGATAATGTAATATAGTATAATTAAGTTAAAATAAAATATTCTAAACATATATATAATTTTATATATAATTTTTCCAAAGCTAACAATATTTTTTCTCAGATATAAATATTTCTAAAGCAGCGGAAAATTTTTTGTTTTCGGAGCAGGATTCGAACTTAGATATTCGGGATTCTAGCTAGGCCGCCAATTTACCCGTTGGCAGCTATCAAGCCAAAAGGTTTATTCGCAAATCGTCCTATTTCAGAATCATCCTCGCGCTACAATATATGGGCATTGCATTGCTTCTTTTAGAGTACATGTATGTGCGGCGTTTCAATTATTTTCTGAACTATTCTCGATGATATGAAACGCTTTTCCACACTGCTCTGTATTAAAAGTTCATCAATGATTAAACCTTTTCCCTCGTCCGCATTTTCGAATCTTTTCCTGCGCCGCAACTCCTTTTAATCGCTATCCCGCACCGTAAATCCACAACCCGTGTTTTAACTTTCCGATTTTTGGTCCGCTGCATAATTTGCTCTTTCCTAACAATTATTAGGGGAATCTAAAAGGTGACATCATTGTACTGACCTTTATAAAACAGAAGTTTATTGTAAATGTGCTATCACTTACGGTTAATTAACCATTCACATGCAGTTATGTGCAGATCTTACTCCAGAATTCCCTTGTGCGATATGACAATTTTTTTTCAACATTCGCAAGGATTTCCACAGAACACCAAGTTTCCCACATCCCCAGCAAAGACACGAGCCGTTTCGTGTTCGAGCGAGGTGATCATTCCTTGATAAATTTCCTCAACATTTGCAAGGATTTCCACAGGACTGGAAGTTCTCCCACATATCCAGCAAAGACTCGGTGTCGTGTTCGGGCGAGGTGAACATCCCTGGATAGCATTCCTCAAAACATGACCAACGTTGATCCTGAAGCGCAAGGAAAAAGAACGTTATACTATATGCTATTATATACTAGCACAAGGTTGGATTTACTTCGCGTTGATTAATAATAACAAACAGATCATATAGGAAAATAAAGTAAATTCCCGTAAAGAACTTATTTTTAAAATTAGTAAAATTGAAAAATTTCGTTACGGAATGTTGTAAAATACGGAAAATATAGCCTTGCGAAGTTTGCATGTTTTGTATATGTTTGTAGCTATTACGTGTGGAAATTGTTACCATTTTTGAGCCGAAAATGGTAACAATTTCCGCACGTAATACAAACATATACAAAATTTGCAAACTTTGCAAGACATTTCGTAACGAAATTTTGCAATTAATAAGTTTTGTACGGGATTTTTTTTCCCAGATCAAAAATTAGTCTATCATCAACGACGACATCAACAGCTACTACGATTTTCTGAAAATTTAGGAGGAGATTTTTTTCAATGTCACGTAACACGCGCTCAAAACTAATGCGTACAATATACCACTTGAGGTTATGACTAAATTCAAAATTTTTATTTTTCGATACGTTTCTCAATCGGCAAACAAACTTAAAAAGTATGTTTAGTGCTTTATCTGTAAAGTAATGCTAAAATGAAGAGATTTTAGATGGTACGCCAAAGAGAAAATGATGTCTGAAGCTTAAGTTCAGTAAGTTTTGCTTATACATGGCTGAAAATATGGCGTCAATTTTAAAGCATCATTGATAATTGTATTTTAATTGACAATTTTTAACTATTATTTTATGTTTCTCAACCGGCAGATGCATTTAAAAAGGTAGCTAACTGTATAAACTAGAGAACAACGCTAAAACAAAGTAATTTTGAGAGGAACGCCAAAAAGATTTTAGGTTTTGAACACTTTTCATTGCAAATACGAGACATTGAAAAAAATTGCCTCTTAAGGATTTTTGGGCAACTCACTCGACAGAACACGGGGCCGTACATGCGATTCCTGCCAGAGGGCCTATTAGTTGCATTATTCGCAACTGCTCTGGTTACAGGTTTAATAAATGTATAAAATTCACACTCGAAATTTCCATCTATAAAAATTACCCATCTTTCTGTAAAAATGACCCATCACTTTTAGAAATAAATTAACTTTGTCCAAAAAATAATACGATTACCTTATATAAAGTTGGCCCAACAGCCGATAACCAAATACCCATCGAGACATCTTCGCCCTGAAGTACAATATGAAACATAGATTCAATTCCCTTTCTAATAAAGTAATTTTATACTGAATCTTCATCAGTTCTACACTGGTCTCCCCAGAGGCTCAGCAAGGGTCATCCCCAGGGGCAGATCTACCATACGGGTGCAGGGAGTCCACACCCCACTTAGTGGTGTTTTTACTATTGAACAAACCTTCACAGCGCAAGAATCAAACCTCTGCCACAGCGGTAAAGGCACATGCTACATGTACTAACACTGTAAGTTTCTACCACTTTAGGAATGTGAGATTACCTGGTAGCGTTTCAGCGAATCTGCATTTCCCGCTAACCAATGAACAAGGTCAGCCGAAAGTACATTGCCCGCACCGCAGGCGAAGGTTGGGTACGTCACACCCGGATAGTCGGGCTCAGCCCATTTCCCCTGGCGTTCAATAAGCCAGTCAGAACGAAAGCTGGTAAATAAAGAAACAAAAGCAAAGAATAAGAAATTTAGAAGACGGAAAAAAATTATTTCATAAAAGAAGCATGTTTCAATACACCCTTTCGATAATTACGTCACACATACTTTTTGGTCTTGTAGCCTCGCTCTCATCAGTAAATTACGCAAGGTGATTGGCTCACGATTCATGAGAGCGAGGCTCCCAGGCCAAACGACGTAATTATCGAAAGGGTGTATTTGTTTTTGAAATGTTAGTGGATTTAAAATGGCGACGAGACCACGGGTTTGGCGTTTTGTCAGTAAAAGCTAATCGCATTACCTGCCCCACCAGAGTTTGAATTTGTTCTTTAACTTGTGCTCTTCCATTTCCTATAAAAACAACATTGCGAACACAATTAATTCCTTTTTTCTCATGCCAATATATTTTGTTCTTCGCAAGCCTGTCAACAAGTTGCGACATTGCTGCAAGGTTCTCACTCGCAATTTATTAGCCAGTTTTCGACATACCTTATAGCCACGGCTTGTGGTTATAAAGTATGCTTGTTTTCGGCATACCTTATAATAAAGTACGCTTGTTTTCGGCATACCTTATAGCCACGGCTTGTGGTTATAAGGTGCGCCTGTTTTCGGCATACCTTATAGCGACGGTTTGAGAGGCTCTTTATATACTCGAGAACGTTGTCGCCCAACGAAGTGAAGTTGATAAAATTTGCTTACTTGAAGAATGTTTTCTAAATCCACAAAACAGTCATCATCTGTTTTGAGTGCGAAAGAAAATGGCACATTTTCTGCAATCCTGTGAAGACAAAGTTAAGTGATGCCATTTGAGCAGCTGTCTGCGGCTGTTGGAAAAAGACAATTCTGCTGAGAATTGGATTTGGCCAAAAATCCCCCCTGGATCGTTGACATTTTGGCGTTTAGGCTGGCATTGCCGATCGAATGCCAACCTCCTGCTCAAGTGCACGGAACGTAACAACCTCTACCTTCCAACCCCTCTCAGCCCCCTCGCCCCACCAAACAAAAACAGCCTCAGTATGAGTTTCGTACCAACGATAAAATCCCAATAACTGTGATGGAAGATTTCTGTAAACATCAACATTAGGAACAAAAAGTAAATCCGAAAACGTCTTGCTCTCTTCTTGCAAACGAACATTTTCCTCCTGTTTCAATTGCTGCCATTCCAAGATTCTGTTTTGTCTTTGTTCTTTGGTGAGGCTCTTCCCTTGAGTATCATCTGAAATAGCGATGAAGCAGTGTTCGATTGGGGTGGTGGTACATGGTTAGTGTATGGACTGTCTATATGGTGTATGTACATCATAGCAGGAAGTAATACTTGTTTGTGATATAATTCGTGAAGATCACGATCAAGAATACATTATTTCCGACAACATGGAGAGTTACGAGTTTTAAGCGTTTTATCCGCAAAAGATCCACGTTAATAATTTAAAAGGAAAGCGGCAAAAACTCACCTAAACATGAAAACATATTATCCACCTAGAGTTATTTACATTAGTTATTATTTACATCGTATGAATTTAATACAGTTTTAGAAGTTGAAGACATGGGTTTAATGGTTGGGAAGAGTTCTGCTAAATACAGTTAGAAGTTGCACTTGTTGCGGCTTGGAATGCAGCCGTTGTATGAAGACGTGAAAATCTGTGATTTAGCGTTGTAAATAGAGCGAGGACAATGTCTAAATTATTCATATATTGTAATTACTCAATTCTTTTCAATGATGTATTGTATTCGTAGCCGTTGCCGTCGCGTTGCCGTCCTAAAATCGTAAGGTCTCTATTTTCCTCGGAGTCCCGCCCTCGGGGAAATATCATCAGTTCGGTAATATTTCGCCGAATTCCCCTCGTTCCGGATCTATGCTTACCATGCGCGAGATACATAAAGGTTCCTGTGCCGTGTACACATTTTTCATCTGGCGTGGTCTCTTCGATTTCTGGAAAACTACCAACATCACTGCTAAATCTTCTTACCTACAAAAGCGTCTATCTAAGATTCTTGTACAAATACTGAAACATTCTTTAAAACATTCTTACTGAATAGACCTTTCCGGTAATTACGTAACAACTACACTGTTTTCAACCTAGGACCACCTTAAATGGAATAGATTTCAAGTGTGCTGCTCTTACTATAGCCGGTGAGAAACAAACTTAAAATCCATTCTATTTGGGGTGGTCCTAAGTTAAAAACAGTGTTAGTTGTGACGTAACTACCGGAAAGGTGCATTCCATTTTCCAAGGCCAATTAATGCATGTGATTTGGGTCAAAAATTAATATCGAAAGTACCTTGAGCGTTTTAAATAGCCCGCCGTTATCCTGAATGTCGGTAAATCGTTCGCATTTCCTACAGCCATGGCTTATACACTTGGAATTTTCAATGACAATACTGGCTTGAAAATCCTGAAAAATACCACCGTTCATTATGCAACATTAGAAACATTTTACAACTTGCAAAAATATGCGAACACTTTTAATTTCACCAGTTTATAAATTTCCCAATTAAACTTAAAAGCGAACCTTTGGTAAAATATAATTTGGAACAGTTTTAAACCTGCTGCCATTTACTTGGGTACCAGGACTTTCAACCGTAAAGTTGACGCTGACTATTTCTTTCTATAGAAATTAAAAGAAAATCATTTTCTGGTGATTAGATAGATTTGCATAAGGAAGAATATATACTCATTGACATTGTTTCGTTCTTGTATAAAAAATACCAACCTTAGATATTCTGTCGTATAGACGAACTGTAGTATTGGTGTTAATGTTTTCACTCAAGCCATTGGTAGATATACCCAAACTTGTAATGACCAGTGGATATAGCACCTGAAATAGAAAGTAGAATTGATCAGACTATCTCAGTATACCATTTTCCGGTTGATTCAACTTCTGAAGATGAATGAAATAGATTCGAAATATATACACAATTGTAATAAATTCTGTTTTATAACTACGTCTATGTACATTTTTTTCGGATTAATTTTAATTTTATTTGAATGGATTGAATGGTTTTAAAGATTTACCATATACATGTAGAAACCATGGATTAAAAACTAAATTCTTACCATTGATTATTGACTATTACAAATTTCCCAAATAAATATAAGTTGCTCCACAAGAAGAAGGGATTACTATAAGGTTCTGATTTTATGACAACATGATCTAGGCAAGAAGAACAAAATCCAACAACACAGCTAGGAAGAGCATGCAGTTAAAATTAGTAATATTGTAAAGTTTGGTTGCAAAATGTTGTAAAATGAGGA